CTCCACTAAAAATAGCATCAAGTAGAACCAATGGTATTGTGACCGCATCCAATAGTAATTACTTCAAATTCACCACCAATCCAAAAAACTTGAAACCCAAATTCACGTGACAAAAACAGAAATATACCCAATTTGCGGTGAGGTAAAGCCCTTCTTTATCTCCACTGTAACTAATAAGGGAGGCGAAGTCTTGGTGTGAAAGCAACACAACATAATTTGGACCAACCTGAAATTTGACTCCGTAAACACGAGTGGGATTCTCAAGGCATGCAGTGGCGACGGGTCGGTACCAAATACAATAGACAGTAGCGAGCTGGATGGTGTGCGTTACCTACGATGCAAAGCGGAGAGTCGGAGACAAGCTGAAAATAATCGGCGGCAAAAGGCGGAAGCAGCTTAACAAATTAAAACACTCTGGGAAGGGAATAGAAGGGAAGACGGGATTTCTTTGTTTTTTCCCCTTCTTCTTTCAAATTCCTAACCAACAACTAAGTACAAATAAGGGAAAGGGATCAGATCAATGGATGGAGGCGCAATAATCATACTATGGGCGGCGGTGGACTCATTGTGGACGGGCGAGGAAGAAAATAAGTTTAGAGTTTTAGGATCCAGGAAAGAGGCTTTGATATCATGTTGGTAAATGAAAATATAGTGTAAATTGTTGTGTATTATTATTGAAATCACATAGAGTTTATATAGAGTACAGAAATTGACTTCTATAAAAACCCTAACACTAATATAACCCTGATAAGAAATATAATCCTGACCAATTACATAACAGTACTCATAGTTAGGGTTGTTAATGAGCCGAGCTCTTCGTGAGCGTCTCAATCTTGAACTCGATAAAAGCTCGTTCGATTAAATTGTATATATTTCCTCATATGGTGTTTATAATATTACATTAGGTAATCACATGTATCACATATGACATATCCTCTATTATAATATGGCAGTACCTCGTGAGATTTTGTCCATTTTGAATTCTCTGCGTTCTCCTTAATCGTAGCTAGGGTTATAATAGTAAATGTCATCTTACTTTTTAATAAGTGAAAAAAATAATAAATACGTTTAATAAATATCATCAATGATAAATATGTTGCCGGCAAGATGTGAACCTTGGTCGTTTCAAATACAAACAAAGGTCATAACCAATAATACTACATGTACTTTTTGTATCTCTTTTAATTAAAAACATATATGAAGGCCAAACCGAAAAATCACAAAACTTTTCAATGGTTAGCTAGCCAAATAAAATTTCGATAAGTACTTATTGATGTTCGATACTTCAATTTTTATATTATGATTATTTAAATTTCTATATATCTTATAAATATGGATAACTTTAAAATCAAAACTTAAATATCAATGGTTCGATTATTACATATCAAAATCTAGTATTGAATATGCATAATTCTTAAATTAGTATTAACTTTTAGAACTACTATGAAACTAGACCAGGCAAATTACAATCCTACCCGTTGACCAGACCCGAAACCGCCCGAAAACTAGAAATTTTGTAACCCGAAATCCAAATGACTTGAACCCGATAACCCGTGATTTTTTGGGTCGGGTTGGGTGGGTTAGCGGGTCGACCCATTAGACCCGTTCCATTTTATATATCACTCTCAAAATATGATAAATCACTATTAATTGGTGAGATGTTTAAAAAAATCACAAGGATTTGAATGACATGTTTGGAGTTTAAGGATAATCAAATATCATGTGTTTCTTGTAGTAGTATTACTCTTGTGATTGTTTTTTGACGATTTGCGCAATTTGTATTTCATTTCATTAGTGTGGGAGGATTTGAGAATATGTTAATTGACATGTGTTAGGTGAACTATTGTCACGCATGTGTAAATTTGTGTTCTTTAAGAAAATATGAACCATGTTTGATATTGTTTATGAGAACGCTCGTAACCCGACCCGAAACCGAATGAGTTGGGTCAACATTTGACCCAAAATCAGAAACCAAACATGACCCGACCCGTAACCGACTTCCCCAACCCGACCCGATTGCCAGGTCTATATGAAACAATTATATTCATATCTTTGTGCGATCTATATGAGACTGATCCTTTGAACGTTTTAGCTCGGCTAACTGCTAAGTTTTAAACCCCTTTCTAATCCGGTATGATTGGATCCAACAATCATTAGACGAGGTTAAGTTTAATATCTTTGTTCATTTCACCCTTTTTATGTGTTAATGAATATGTTGGGCAAAGACATGTCTATATATACACTCTACAAAATATTAGTATTGGAATGAGAAAATTGTTGCCTCATTTCAAATTTCCTACAGCGAGAGTGAAATTATGAATGATATTTTTGTGTTCACACTTATTTATCTTTATTAATTACAGAAAAATAAAAAAAATTGGGATTTGAATGTATCTTCAAACAAAGACAAGACTCATAACCATGATTGTCAACCTAAGTTTGACTCGGCCGGTCGAACCAATTATTCACAAACCCGAATATTGCACTAAATGCGGAAGGCCCAATCGGTTGTCTACTTGGGCTCGGCCTAACCCTGAAAAACCCAATCAAATTGAGAAATCCAGCCGATTCAACCAACTAATACGAGCACCGGGCACTTCAAAATGATGTCATTTTCAACAAATCGTATCTATAGCTCCATTGTCGTGGCATCCTTTTCCTTATCACAAACCCTACAACAACGAACATAGAAAAATCCCATGTTCAACTATCTCGCCGTTTCTCTTCCTTTAGGTTCGGCATGTGACAATACAAGGTTCAACCATCTCATAAATCATCCCAATCCATCAGTAGTCAATTCCATTTGCTTTCCAGCAACAGAATAATAGCGTCAAACGACCTCATCTCATACAAAGAATAAGCAAAAAAGTTTAGAGAAACAAGCATTTGAATTGAGACTTTATGTGACTAACAAATGCCAAGTTCCTCATTTGTATATGAGCTTAAAATTTAATTGGAGAAAACGATTAAAGATATTGAGAATGGAATATGAGATCTAGCAATATAAAGAAGGAAATTAAGAATATATAGATAAGTAAAAGAAAAGAGAAAAATAAAAAAAGACAAAGAAAGAGGGAAGGATTTAATAATTAAAGCGTCATTCTTATTTCTAAAAGAGAGAAAGAAGTAAAAAAAAAAGTACCAATAAATGCAATTCAACTCAATTGGAAGAGAAATTGAGGGCCATAGAGAAAAGGTCCATCAAAGTAGCATAAATAGAATTGTAGGAGAAGGATTGGAAAGTGAATTTTGAAATGCCTCTTGAGATTGGAGATAGAGGGGATAAAATGTTGGTTGTACAATGGATAGTAGTGGCTATTGGTATTTAGGTTTATGGTTGTTGCAGCTACCACAACCTATGTCTTTCTCAAAATGAGGAATCATTGATTGATTTATTAAAATTAAGATTGATTCTCTATTCAAACTACTGGAACTGGTAGATAATGAGTGTCTAATTCTGTACCATATTGCTTTGATCGAGTCTATTAGTATATTGGAGGTAACCCTAATTTTGTCATTTGCGCTCAACTTTTGATGGTCCCTTTTAGTTGAGTTGATAGTATATGGTTGACTTGAATCAACAACTTTTCATTTCTTTTTAATTAGTGGTATGTTGTTCCTAAAATTAGAGCATTGAACCCTTAATGTAGGACTATGATATTTTAGTTTTAGTTTTCAATTATCTATGAATTGTATGAGAATTACAGTGGGCTTTTATCCTATATCTCTCCTGACAATCAATTAGCCAATAGCATTTTAACGCGAGCTTAATAATCATTATGAAATGAGATTAAGTATACATTTTTATATTTTATATACTTAAATGATGATAGTACTTCTTCAAATATTCAACATATACCTTCATTTTTTATATATCATCTTGATCGAAGGATTGCCAAGAAAATTAAAAAATTGATAAAATTAAAAACATAAAATATAAATACTCAAATACAAATATTCCGGCCAACAAACCAGGTTATAAGCTAGTAAATATTAGTATATTTATAAGATAAATTATCTTAGAGCTGAGCTCGAGCCGAACTTTCAATCTAATTATGTATCAAGATTTAATAAATGAACTGACTCGTATTCGACTTGACTCAACTCAACTCGTTTATAAACGAGTCAAGCTACAAATACACATACTCTAATAAGAGATCCCCAGCCCAGCAAAAGCAAATTCAAATCAAAACATAAACACTCTGGTTTGTTGTGAACCATAAGAGTGACAAATGGGCAAGCACACCAATTCGATTAGCTTCCTGCTGCTACTGGTAAGCGGTCAAAACAAACTGATAAACTTGGATGGATCAAAGTTCAACAGTTTCAGCCTTTAAATTCATGCTCTATAGCATTTTCATAAATAAGGCCAACTCAGTTACAGTCTCAATCCACATGATGAATCTGTATATGTTAGCCCACTCTGACTTTCCTATCCAGTGGACCGGAGGTATGGGGGACATGCCCCCTTACCAGTAGTAACAGCAGCAGAGTGTACTGTTCACTCAAATCAGGGAGTGGGGAGACAACACAAGAGAAGACACTATTCTCAATGCAAGGAACCACTTCCACCTTCCTTCCATCCTATTTTATCCCTCATTCATCCCAAACAGCCATGCCCCGCCTGCTACTGCTCCTTCATGGCTATACTCTACTTTCTCTACTTCTACTACAGTCTCCTTGTCACCAAACTGTTACACTGGGAAACAGAGATCAGACTTCAGAGAGAGAGAGAGAGAATCAGAATTTTCCCCCTTTCCCCATGCTCCCTGTCTACCGCATACTCTTCTATTGTTCTGCAACACTACTGCATAAACTCACCATATCAAGATGGGATCAAAGGGGCAATAAAGCAAACAGATATACACAGATGGGAGGAGAAACTGAGAGGGTTTCGGATACTGTTCGGGGAACATTCATTTATTTGTGTGGCCACTAACTTGGCTTGTGAGCCAAGAAACAACCACTACTGTTCCTCAGAATTTTTCACAAAACAATAAGACCAAACCAAGATACGCATGTACCAGCCCTCCTACTCTTGGATTTACCTAAACAAATATTGGGTTATTCTCAGCATGCTGGCTACAGTTAAAAAAAAGGAGGACAAAAGACGAGGTAAAAAGCTGGGGGAAAAACTAAAAAGGGTAATAAGTATGTAACTATGTATAGTTTCTTTTCTTCCCACTGCTTCCCAGCCCAACAAGCTCTTTCCCCATTATTGCGACTACGATTGATCTAACATGCGGACATTACCCCCTCCCCATTGATGCATATCTGTTACCCCCCACTAGCAAGCAATCAAGCAAGGGACATGGCCTGAATACACAGCAACTGAAAATGGATGGAGGAGCTTTTGCAGGAAACGTCCCTGGTGAAATCATCAAACATTCATGCACAGCAAATTTTGTTCCAGTTAAGACTAGTACACTGACAAACTAACTTTTCTTTCTTTTTGTGTCGGTAAGTTATTTTTTCACTCGTCAGGTTGCTCCATTCTGCAAAAACCAACACAAGATACTTCAATTCTTCTCCCTGTTCATATATTTGACACGCCCTCTCACATACACAGGCAGTCAGTCAGAATTCCAAACTCTCATGAAGTCAGCAGATTCAATTGATGTAGAAGAAACAAAGACAATATTCTATTCACTATAGTGAGAAATGAATTGCTATTGAAATTAAAAGAAATTACAGTGTTCAAAGTTACTGCTGAAATTGACGTTCAGGTCAATAAGAAAGATCATGTTTTCCCAGAATTTTAAAGAGGGTCGGCGCATGTATGGAGGAGCATGATTACCATACTCAAAGATAAAATAATGCACGAGTTACAGAATCATGCACTAATAGCTTGACCTCTCCATTCTTCCATTTCAGACCTTTTTTTTGTTACTAGATCCACCAAATCATTTCCAGAAAGAATAATAATCATTAACCCACTCATCTTTCACAAATTTTCAAAGCACTTGAAGTTTCCTTTCAACAAAAGCAGCTCAAGCTGGATCCTATGTGGCAAAAGGTCCCTACTTATCCTACTTTATCTGGGGGTCATTTCAGTCACAGCCCAACCAGTAACCTCAGCAGTAAAATTATCTATTCAGACCCAACGTATTGCTCTCCCCAACCATATGGGGTTCGTGGCTATTCCTATTAGATGGCAACTGAACAATACAATGAAAGGCACATGCTTAAGCCAACTTGCAGGTGAACAGAGATGAGTCACATAGTTATAATTGGCCAATTAAAATTCTGCAACGGAAAAAGAACTTTACAGACATTGTGTGCGTACCTGAGTTCATGACTGGAAAGAAAATAGCGTTCAGTTGATTTGCAAAAGGGCCCATAAAGATTTTCAGGAACAAGAGATATGCCCATTGACCTTGGTTCTCCAAAAAAAGTCCTTGGTTCTCCAATGCCTTTTAGTGCTCTCTAAACCAAGTGGGGACGGAGGGTCCGCAGATAACAAAGGAAAGTGTGTTGCTATTATTTGCAAAGAGGCAGTATTGGCTAATCAAAGGAATAATGAAAGAAACCCCTTTCAGTACCAGAAGATTTTGTCTTGCAAGAAAAAAGGAATCATGCATGAATGAAGGACAGTAGATGCGCAGAAATACCATGAGAGTAATCAATCCTTTTCCTTCCCTCAGCACTCGACTTTTTCCCCCTCTTGAGAAGCCCTTTTCTTAGTGCCATTTGTCAACCTCAAGTTCACCACCAGGTCCGCCGTACCTAACAAATAAACAGGATAACTTGGTGACCAGCATGCGCCCAAGGAATATAAAAGTGATAAGTAATGCTAATCTTATATGGCCACACCACCTGACATGCTTACCAACTAGAACAAAAGCCTTCTCGACTTGTATAACTAAAACGACAAGTTTATATGCTAAGGAAACTAGAGTATCTGAAATGGTTGGTACAGCATCTTTTTGTTTAATTATACAAACACAAAGAAGGCAGTTGCTTATAAACCAAAATCCCATCTTTGTTTTCCAGAAAACCAAAGGTAGTTGCTCGTGTATTGGGGATGGCATTGTTATGCACGACTAAAAAGATGGGGACCAGTGACCATGTTGGCAACCCCTCCACGCCACTGTTGAAAATTATACACACAAAATGGTGCACCACGAAAATCTTACCATATCAGTGTTTTGTGAGAAACCATATCAACAAGGAAACAAGAAGATCAACAAACTGCTCCTTAAATTCAGGTTAAGTAATGAAGGGCTCTCTCTCGGGTGAAACCTGTTCAAGAACAGAAAGAGTCAGAGTAGCCATTCAGGACCGAGAAATAAGAATTAAACTAAAATGGTTAAACACTTCTATAAGCCCGTAGGATCAGAACATAAACCAAAATAAATAAGTGAGCATCAGACTGGGTACGGCAAAAAATAATGCCATCAGTACTCAAACAACTGATACCTCCCATCATGCAATGTGGCTAATTACAGTCCACATTTCCAGGTGGTCACATAACCTTTCTTCCAAAGTGAAATGGCATTATGATAAAAACCTATGCATGAACAAACACAAACACCAAAAGGAGGGAAGTTTTCTCATTTAATCAAAAAACTTATATGTACAACAGGTTTTTTGGCATCTTCACACTCATAACAAGTGGTTATAGTAGGGAGGCTTGTGCGGATGTAAAATCCTAACAATTGAAGCTCATCTAGTCCACTTTGATGAACGATCTAAACTTGTGTCAACACTTCCACAGAGAAAGAGCTGGTCCTTGTTCATTAGGTGGAAAGGATGATCAAACTGATTTGCTAGGGGGATCTCCCTCTTGTCTCCTATTAGATTCTTCCTTCTTCTCAATTACCTGCTGGACACCTTCCTGATACCCTTCTATGAAACTTTTCAGAGCATCTCGGTATGCTGAAGCTCTTGTCACGTATAACCGCTGCAAGGATGGCTTCAAGGTCTCGGCGCCTCCCCTTGCAGCCACCGCTACAACCCATTTCATGGGTACAAAATTAAGTGAAGGAAGTGAGCATGGAAACTGAGATGGACAAGAGTCGTTGAAGGGATAAACTGATACAGAACGGGGGGAAGCCTGTAATGAGAGCACATGACAACTCAATAAACCAGTGGAGGAAAAGGTTAATAAGCCAACTACTTGGCTGTTCCCTCGTAATACAATTAGAAAATGATATCCTAATAAAATTCAATTATCCGTAGTGTGCTGGATTCCTACAAACCAATTAAGCAATGGAACTGGGAGCAACCCAATCCAATCTTCTCTGCCTATGTCTAATAAACAATGACCACAGTTTCCCTTCGATGCCGCTCAAAGCATATATATCAATATCATTGTCATCATCATACTGCAAAAGAGATGTTTAAGGCAAATTACGGCAAGTAACAATCCCATTGATATAGCCATGGCTGCCCTGAAAGTTAGTGGGTTACCAAGATCTTCAAGCACTGATGGCTCCTTCTCTCCTGACGTAGCGCTCTTTGTTCCATCCTCTCGCTTCTTGTAATCATTCGGTCGAAGGTCAGGGCCTATATCCCTCACCCAGCTCGCTGCATAAAGCCTCGTCGCCTTCTTAAGAACCTGGATTTGGGGAAACAAACAGAGGGCCACGGTTAATACAATCCAGCTCGAATCAAAGGCAAAAGAGTAAATCGCAAGAAAGTTGGCCGCTACCTCAGTTTCATGTAGGCAGGGGCGGAGCTACGTTGGGACTCGGGGGGCCCCGCCCCCCAGAATTTTGAAGATCGTGTTAAAATACGACTAGAATTTGAAGTTACGTATTAATTCAGATGCATCTATATGTAATTCTATTGTGCATTTTGATTGTTGAATTGGTTACTTTAGTCCAGCGGATAAGTGGTCTTTTGTTATATGGGAGGTTGTGGGTTCATACCCAACAACACGACTTTTTTTTACTACTACTTGTCTTTTAAGTTGTTTTCATACTTTGATTTCATACATAATTTAACTTCAAACTAGGTAAATTTAATTGAAATTATACATTTATATCTTCAAAGATAATTTTAAATATATAGCAAATAATTCAATTATTTTCCCATTTTTTATAGACATTCATTTGTTACTTATCATAAATTGAAGAACATAGTGCATTATTTTTTGTTGAAATTTATTTAATAATTTTGAACATGCTGTTGATAAATTTTTTAATTTAAATCATACTTTTAGTGCTTATAATTATCTTAAATAACATTTTGTGGGGTGACATCTATATTTTTTTTACGATAATAAAATTTTCGGCCACCCCGAACTTAAAATCCTGGCTCCGCCCCTGCATGTAGGCTAACGACGATTGGAACTTAGGAGTAGGATTTAATGGGAACTCACAAGGAAACCCCGGTAGAAGGTCAATTTGCGGGGGTTTTGGGTGCCAGGAGGGTCGGGGCGTGAGGAAGGGAATGCAATTTCTTTCAAGTCGTAGCGAACGTAATCGTACACTTTCCGGTGCACCACCCTCGTCCTCACTCCTCATTACCTTTTTTCTTCTTCTTTGAAACTTTTCCGGCTAATCTCTGATTCCGTCGGCTCCGTTCGCCGTCTCTCAATCTCAGGAGTAGAAATGGGGATAGTGGGAGGAAAGTAGGGGGACTCAAAGTCTGAAACGCAGTCTCCATACCGTACCGGCGGTTCAACCACGAAATATTAGTATCCGAGGTTAAACCGGTAGACGGTATTTACTGGTATAACAACTGAATTACGGTTAAATCACGGTTTTATCATAAAATACCCTACCGTTACGCTGACTTTACTGGTACGATCTCCGGTACGGTTTCATGGACCATGCTGAAAACGGCGGTGGCGACGGGGTAGCAGAATCACGTTGTTGTTTCGATCGCCAGAGAGTAAGCCTTCATTGCTTTGCTAGGCTTCACATTTGAAGAGGCCTTCTGTAGAATTTACAACTTCCAAACGACGCCTTACTAATTAGAATGAGTATTTGGGCTGGGTTAAATCTGTTTTACGACAATATCAATGGGTCCAATAACTTATGTTTATATTTCAACAAGCCTAATTTTGGGCTTAATTCAGCCTGTTGGACATCCCCCCCCCCCCAGCATGTTGGACTTGGAGCTTGTTGAACTTGGTATTTGTTCCCGCTCATGGACAACAGGAAATGTTGCACGATATCACATCGATTTAGTTCACAAGACAGGGGTCATTTACTTCATTTTTGTACACATCGACTCAATGTGTACGACCTGAACTTGAACATTGGTTACTCCACGATATCATGGGTATCTCTCATGATTGTCTGATTATTAATATGATTTAGATGCTTGTCGTCGACTTTCTACAAACAAAAAAAGGGAAAGTGGCAAGAAGTGCTTCAAACATTAAGAGCTATAAAAAATGTTTGATAGTTGCATACCGTCATATTTCGTTCTTGTTGCTGGTAGGTGCATTCCGTTCTGGGATCGTTTCGGTTGGAGGAAGAAGATGAAGAAGAGGGAATTTCAGTTGAATTGTGGGTGGATAGTATGTTGTCTTGTCCTTTAATTTATTTAGTATTCACATGAAGCTTCTTGTTGAAGGTCAATCTATGGCTTGCTGATCAGTGATATTTAGGGTTTGTTTCACAGGAAATGTGTAAGCGGGGTGCTACACTTGGTCAGAGGTAGTTTATTTACAGAAGGAAGAAGACGACGAAGACAACTGTGGATATAGAGTAATGGAATCGACCAAACGATTGGGCTTAGAGTAATGGAATAATTTGGGATCCAATTTGTAATTCTTTGATGGGCTTAATGGGTCAAGCAAATGTGTAAGTAATATTTGTTATTAAAACGCAACTGGATCATTTCAGCTGGTGTTCGAAACTAAATAGACGTTGATTAGCTTTCGTTGTTGTAAACGTATTAATTAGTGATGAATTCGTTTAAATTTAACTACTTGTACAAGGGGGCCTTTTAATTACACGCTACGTAAAGCTAATTACCGATGTCAATCCTTGGAAAGGTACACAAGGGGGGGTCTTTTTAATACATGCAACTTTATGTTTGCGTTCAAAATCATACAACAAAACAACCTCTACCCTTATTTTTACTATGACCACATCCTAGCCTTGTAAGGCCAATGCCTCATTAAACTCAAGTGAAGGCGTTATGACTAATATAATTAATTTTACGTAACTTAATGAAGTATTTCACAAATGGAATAGGACCCACAACAATGAATTAGGAATTGGAATTTGCCATGTCACAATGAAATAAAGAAATGACACCCATTGTGGATGCTCATTGCTAAATAAGCAATCCCTTCTTGCTATTCATCCCAAACCCTTAACAAAGTTAACATGACTCTATTTCAAAAAATAGGGTGTCTTACATAGGCATACTTAAATGGGGTAATTTTCATAGAACTGTATGCGTCATTGTAGGAGAGCTTTGAAGTTATTTCCCTTAGCATAAAGTTTAACATAATGTAAAAGGCCAACAAATATATTCACTTAGGCTTGCAAATTAATTTTACGCGCAACGACAGCTGACTCGCACGAAACTACGCCGCGAATTAATCTCGACTAGAGCCCAAGTTTTTAAACTCTAGCCGGGTGCAGTATATGGCAAGCATTTAATTGTCAAACTCGGGCCGGTCCATGTACCCCTACTTCAATCGCTTAAGTTGTTATCTAGCAAAATGGTTTTGGGTTTAAAACTATGAAAACTATAAATGAAAACAAGCAAGTAAAGTAAATCGAGGAGAACTCTACTTGAGAGGACTTCACCTGGGTATTGCTCCCCCTAGTCTCATGTAAAGAAGCGACAAACAAAGCTCTAGTGTGAAGGACATGTTCATACACCGCGAGGTGGGCGCAACTAGCTAGGAACAAACTCCCTTACGCTCTGTTTGGCAACAAGGGGGGTGCAAATTGCAGGAGGGTGCAAGTTGAGGGGTAAATTGCTGGGGGGTGCAAATTGCTGGGGGGTGTAAGTGGAGGGAAATTGTTGTTTGGATGAAAAAGTAGGGGGGTGCAAATAAAGTGCAAAGTAAGTAATTATATTATTTTAAAATAGATTTTAAAATTATAAAATATTATCATAAAATAATAAAATAAATATTACTATATGATAATAAATATACTTTACTAAAAAAATAGTTATTATATAATAATGCTCAAATAATAAATAATTATAACAATTGTAATAATCATTGATCGAGCGATCTCAAAACTCGAAGCTCAACTCGTAACTGGTCATCCTATATAGGGTTTTCGTGTCTAGTTTAATCTTTAAATTGTCAAACTTAGTCAAACACGTTCGAATTTGTAAGTTTTAACTATTTAGTCAAATAAAATGAGTTAACCAAACAATTTCTCTCTATCTTTTCCACAAACACCTTGTATATCTAATTTTCAATGCAAATTCGATTCAACCAAGAGATCTAGATTTGACTTGACGAACATTTATAAACTTGTTTCCAGAGTCAAATGGTCAACCCCGAATAATGTTTACATTAATGATATTTATAAAAAGAAGAAATTGATAATATTAATTATTATATAATTATATATAACACAATTAGAAAAACAAAATTCCATAATTCCCCCCTCCCCCTCTCTTCCTTCCTTCCTTTGCACCCCAATTCGGGGGGTAAGCCGAAACAGTAAATTTGCACTCTCGTTTTGCACCCCCCTACTGTTCCAAATTAACCAAACAGGTGCAAATGTGTTGGAAACTGTGTTTACCCCTCACATTTGCACCCTCCTCCCATTTACCCCTCTTCCCAAACAGAGTGTTAGTCAATCAATGAAGGAGAATCAACAAATATAAGCTAGGGGAACTAGCTCTCTTAACCGTTAGGTCAATGATTGTGATTCGTAGCTAGAGAGCCTAGCTCACTTTGCCGATCAACCAAGGAGATCCCTAACTCTCTAAGTTAGCTAATTGAGAATCGTTGCAACAAGTTAAAGAGCTAACTCTCTTAACCTTTGGGCTAGGGGGGCAACGATGGGCTAGGAAACCTAACCCTCTCAACTAGCCGACTAAGGATTGCAAGCCAAACCCTCAGAACTTAATCCGGTCGGCGGAGAGACCGATCCCGGTGGGATCACAGCTCTACTCCGATACTTGAGATTTTGGTCTTAAATCGAATTGAGTTAAAGCTAGCACACTCAATCGTTCATGAATAATACCTCAAATATCATATAAAACACTCAATCAACACAATATGTTCATGTTCTTACATCCTAACACATAAAGAGACTAGGACTCACAATACCCAAGTGAGTAGGTAGGCTATTCCATAGCTAAGCAAGAGAAAACAACAAAAAGAAAAGAAAAAACCATGAAGTGATGTCAATCTTTCCTCCTTGTTGCTTGAGAAACCCTTGAGATGAAGAAATCTTCAATCCTCTAGCTAGGAACAAGCTCAAAGCTCCTTCTTCTTCCTTTGATTTGCACTTTCTCACTCTAGAAGAAACCCTAACCTCTCACTAGAATCCTCTTTATTCTGAAAATGAAAACCTAACCTAAAAATGAAGCTCCCCCTTCTTCTTCCTTTAAGCTCTCCTTTTATACTGAGACCGCGCCCAGTTCAAGGCCGTGAACACCTAAACGCGTCCATGAACTCGGTGTCGTGGCCAAAATGCACCTCTTCACTTCCCGGGGTTCAGGTTTGTGCTCAAAGTTCACGGTCTTAGCGACCGTGAACTACCTTGTCGTCAGTAACCTCTTGAACCCCCTGGACGCCTTGCTGTTCACGGTTGGTGGTTCCAGTTCACGGTCCTGGCGACTGTGAA